TTTTTCAAAGTATTAGTAGTATAAGTCGTGTGTAATAATTGTGTATTTGCATATGACCCTGTAGTGGTAGGTAGATGAACTTGTCTGGGAAGCTTGGTCTGCATGGTCAGCTCTGGACAGCCCATCGGACTGACTGAAGGGTCTGGGCCGAGCCTCCCGTCCCCAGCTCCCAGCCGTGAGAGCCGCTCCCCTGTCACATTCCTGACAGGCTGTAAGAAGGAACCCAGTTCCCCAGAGGCCCAGAAAGTCACCCACAGGGCCCGGCTGGAGTGATGCTGGCATCTCACGCTGTCAGACCCACCAGGCTCCGGGGGCAGCAGTCGGGGCTGACCACCGAGTGGACTCAGCCGCGGGCTGAGCCTTCCGCCTCTTTTCATGTACATCTTGTTGCATCACTAAAACTGTTTGATATAAGCCAATGTCATTCTCAGGGAGCGGGGTTATCACGCTTGGTCAGAAAGAGTCCCACAAATAGTCTCCCTGCGAATGCTGTTCTTCCAACCAGCTTCTCCAGTTTCTGCAGCCAAGGTCGAAGTCCAGAGCAGCCCAACAGTGGAGGAGGCAGAATTTTCCCCGGGGGCATCTCCTCCCGCCCTTCCCTGGGCAAATTTTTAGAGATGGGGCTATAGTCACCTCATTACATACTCAAGCTAAACTCCATTTCTCATCCGTAAAGGAACTGCCTTAAAGATCAGAGAGGACAAAGGGTTGTATTTCAGCCTGGGCGGGGTGCACAAGCAGAAACAGGTGTGAGGCTTGCTGCTAGCGTTGCTGATGACGATGCTGTTGCCATTTTTTGTATTCTGCAGAAGTTAGTCTTTTCAAGATTTTTTTAACCTGGCAGGTGCTAGCTAAGATCTTGAGTAGATGTGTCTGGGTTCCATCCCCCTTGGCCTGGAGAGCACACCCCTCCTGGCCTGAAGAGAGCAGAATTGAATAACAAGCAGGAACTTCCTAAATCTCCAGAGGCGTGTGGTAGATCACATCAGACTTGGTGTTTAAAAAAAAAAAAAAAAAAGCAATGATTAGTGTTTTTTGGTAAACAAAATCATAAAGCTTAATGATAAAAATATAACGAGAGAAATACACTCAGCAATAATCTTATCTGGCTACCATTTTATAATATTTCTGATTGGTCTTTTACATAATTGCAATTATATTCTAAATTCTGTATGTGGTTTTACATCCTTTCATTTTACTTCATGTCATGAATATTTTTCAGTGTCATGAAAGCTCTTTGAAAACATTATTTTTAATAGCTGCCTAACATTCTCTTCTAAGAACCATAACTTACTATGGGGTATGAAGTATAGCCTTGGCCTGGATTCCCAGTGAGCACCGGCTGCCATCCCTAAAGCTACCCTTTGCAAAGAGCAGTGTTAACACCAAGAAAAATTTCCCACTGTTTTGATTTCCTGTCTCTGGCTCAAGTTTCTGGAAGATACATTTGGTCCAGACCAAGATCCACAATCGACGGGGCTCAGCCCTATGGGGGTGCCTCTGTTCCTACAAACGCACCTGCTCGCGACTTTGGTTGAGTGGAGGTTGGGGGTGAGCTCTCCCAATGTGACGACCCCACACACCGGCCATATGTGGGTCAATGGGTCCCTTGGCGACCCCAGTATGTAAAATGCAAGAGTAAACAAGGGAGCGCCATATTCGCCTGATTTACTGCTGTCCATTTCCCCCGAGCGGTAGGGACACTTCCTCTGCGCAGCCGCAGCCGTGTAGAAGCCCGGCGTGCACATGTGCCACCTGGCAGTCATTATATCTTGGGCCCAGCCCCGCTGGCCGTCACGACCCTGGGGGACTGTTCAAATCTGGGAGAGATGTCAGGATATGGCTCCAGGGGGAGGCTGATGTCCTAGTTGGAGGAATGACAGATGTGTCTGGACAAGCCCCTATGGGCATTGCTGTGAAGTGCTCTGCTCGCAAGCACTTGGCCTCCTGCTGAGTTCTGTGGGGCATCACCATCACCCCCAAGCAGCAGGAAGGGGAGAGAGAGAACCGGGAACAAGAAGGGGCACAAAATGCAAAATAAGGAGGAAGGCAATGGAATGCAAACCTGAAAAAAAAATAGTTACTCTCACTAGGTGCATTTGCATATAATGAAAGCCAAATGTTGTATTTTAGCTATAAAATGGAGAAAATTTACTAGTGTGGGCACAAGAGACTCTCATCTGCCAGGGCAGTATCTAGAACTGTATGGATAATGGGACATAAAGCCAGTGTCCAAGGGCTCTGTCTGGTGGCGCAATGGGTTAAAGCACCGCATTATGAAGCTCTCTGAAGTCACTACAGCACAAGTTCGATCCCCTGCCAGGGAGCTGACCCACATGGAGCGGCAGACCCCTTCTGGCCCGCCCGCTGCTCCCCTCAAGCAGTGTGCTTCTTCGATTTTTCTGTTCTGCTCCCTACTCTGTCTCTGGTGAATCCTCACCCACCACACCTGTGGCCTGTACCTCAATTCTGTAGACATAAATAAGTAAATTAAAAAAAAAAAGTCAGTGTCCATGTGTCCTGGTGAGCTGTTGCACTGTTCACAGAGCCTAAGGAAAATAGAGGCGGCTTCCCCAAGGATGGAGGTGCCAGTGTGATGTATGCACAGTGTTATTTACTTGCAATGGCAAAATAGTGAAGGCAGCTTAAATGTCCCAAAGTAATTAGCTAAATTGATCAGGGAAACTCATGTGATGGAGTATCAAAGCATCACATTTCTTAGATTATTTTTACTCAGAAAATGCTAATTAAAATATGAGATAGTGGGATCCCAACTTTTTGGTGGAAAGAGATAACAAGAGCTTTCCCTTTCATACACACGCTATACAAGATACATGACATGCTGTTATGTCATTACCATGAAACTATCTACTGCCAAAGCCCTAGGCTGCGTCTGGACTAGGATGGAGGAGTGAAGGAGAAGGGTAGAAGGGAGAAGAGCAAAAGAAGGAGCAGGAGGTGGACAGGCCCTCGCGGTGCCCACCAGTGGCCCTGGTGCCTACCCCTTGTGGAACCCATCCCCTTGAGCCTCGCAGCATCTGGGATTTGCTTCTAAACAATAGAATATGGCAAAGGCGCCGGGATGTACGGGGTTGTGTCCAAGAGGATGATGGTGTCGGGGCCTCCCCAGCAGCACAAGGGGTTAAAGTGAACACTATCAAGCTATCACCAGCATGGCAGCCTGAGTTCGATTCCCAGCCAGGGAGTGACCCACATGGTGCAGCAGACCTCTCCTGTCTTCCTCACTGCTCCCCTCAGCAGTGTATCTCAGTATATCTGCCAGTTCTTCTCCCACTGTCTCTGGTGAATCCTCTCACTAGCCCCCAGCTCTGACCGGCAGCCCAGTTCTTGTATGCATAAATAAAAATAAATCTTTAAAAAGAAATAAAGTTTCGGCCCTCCCTGGTGGCGCAGCGGGTTAAAGCACAGCACTAAGAAGCTAAATCCACTGCCCCAGAGGTGACCACATGGTGCGGCAGACCTCTCCTGACCCGCCCGCTGCTCCCCTCAGCAGTGTACTTCGTCAGTCATCCTGTCCTGCTCCCCACTCTGTCTCTGGTGAATCTTCTCATCTCCCCTGCACCTCTGGCCTGTAGCCCAGTTCTGTATCAATAAATAAATAAATCTTTTTAAAATTTTTAAAAAATAAAGTTTGCAGATCCTTCAGAGGACCCCGACCAAGGAGATCCCATCCTGAAACAGTAGCGTGCGCACACACACGTACACGTACACACAATAGCCCACTACAATAAACTGCACCTCACACACGCAGATCAATGCATGGGGCCAGAGAGGAAGAGGTGGCCGCCGGCAGGATGCTACGGGCAGGGCAGGGCCTTGCGTGAATTACTAGCCCAGTAAATCAATCTGCCTTGAAGGCATGCCTCCGAGACTGTACTCCTGTAATGGGAGCCACCTTCCTCGGGGCTGTTTGTTACCATCAAGGTCAGTCGAGGAGTCCAGGTTTGCAGCACTGTGCAGTCACTCCTCACCTGCCTCTGGAAAAAGAGATGCGGTATCTGAAGAAACAGCTGCTCGCTGCCGGTAGGCGATGAAAAAGTCGGGAAAAGTAGGCTGGGGTTCACCTCTGATTTCTCTCCTCGTTGGATTTCTAAAACTCGATTCAACCTTCTCCCTAGGATGTCTCCCTTTAAACCACTGTCTCCACTAACTTGTCTGTAGGAACCTGGCCCCAGGTCCCGAGAGAATCAGATGATAGTAATGGCAGCTGCATATTGAGCCCTGATTCTGTGCAAGGCTCCCCACCAAGGAAGCATTTCACAAGCATTCCTCGACTTACATCCACAGCAGATCAGGAGGCAACTCTGATCTGCTTTCACAGAGGGAGAAACAAGCCCAGCGGGGTTCAGTGAGCTGCCCCAGCCTCAGCGCTGGGAACGGACGCCGCAGGTCTGAAGCAGGGCTTCCTGACTCGTGGCCTTCTAAGCAAGAAGCTGCGTCTGTGTAGACAACTGGGCGCACCAGCAAGTCCCAGAGGCTGGGCTGGTGTGTGAGCTGTGCTTGAGTGTGAGACCTTGGTCTCTCATCCGAAGGCAGCTACAGCCTCGTGGGGGCGAGGGGCCCAGGCCTTGCATGTAAGGACCATTTCCAAGTC